CTCCTGGGGAGAAACAGTTGCATTCCCACTTTACAAATGACCAGGCTGAGGCACAGTAAAGTTAAATGACTAGCTCAGACGACACAGCTGGCCCGTGGGGGAGCCAACGTTTGAACACAGGCAGTTGGATTTCAGTGGACTCTTTTTAAAAAATTTTTAAAATATTTTATTTATTTATTTGCAAGAGAGAGAGTGCGCGCACAAGCGGGGGGTGGGGAGGGGCAGAGGAAGAGGGAGAAGCAGACTTGCCACTGAGCAGGGAGCCGGCCAAGGGCCTCGAACCCAGGATCATGACCTGAGCTAAAGGCAGATGCTTATAACTGACTGAGCCACCCGGGCGCCCCATTCAGTGGACTCTTTTAAGCTCCAGGCTTCGCTGTTTTTTTGAATGCAACTACTTGTGTGTGAGTTACGGCCTACAGGAGGGGAGGGATCATCACGGAAGGGTCCTGGGGAGGTAAACCTACAAGCATGGGCAGGATTGTCTTGCTTCCTTTCTCCTCATCTCTCCCACTCCCTTTCTAGTTCTGAGCTCTCAAGATGGGGGTGACATCGGGATCCCAACACATGTGTTCAGAGCTGCTCATCAGCTGGTTTGAGTTCTCCCATTCTGCCTGTGCTCACCAATAGAAAGGGGAAGGAGGAAAAGAAAGAGAAGGAAAAGACCCATTAAAGCAACCAATAGACAATTAGAAGCTCACTATTTTGCCATAATGCAGCACGACAGCGATAAATAAATCAATCACTTGGGGGGTGGGGAATGACTTTCCTATAATCAGCTATTAAAGTCTTGTACCACTAATTAGTCTATTAATTAGAACTGTTCTCGTCCTTCCACATGTTATTGGCCTGCCAAGGCAAAGAAAACTCAGCCCCAGGGGCAGGAGATAAGAGAAGCAAGAAAGACGGAAGTAGCAGATTCAAACAGCTGGGCATGTGTGTGTTTTAAAAGCAGGGCTCTTAGTGCCCCGGGCAAATCCACCTGCTAGTAGGAAAGGAACATTTATCAAAAACCAAAGGGCTGTTGTCTTCGTTGAGCAGAAAAGGAAGAAACGATTTAATCTTTAAAGAGAAAAACCACCATAACGCCACAAGGGGATCTGGGAAGGGCAGTTCCCCTGGGTGTCCCCTGGGGCACTGGACACGGGGAGAAGCGCACACGCTTGGTGCAAAGGCAGCGTTTCAACTGATGGCGTTTCTACCTGGCGCCAGGTGTTGAGGATGCTTTGCAGGGCTCCCAGAGCACAGCCCTCTACACACTGAGGCTGTAGCACACTCAGCTCAGGGAACCGAGACATACTGAGTCCCTACTATGTGCCAGCCACCACCTCTACTCTTTACGTTGGCAACAGCTTGTTGGGTGATTTCACCGGCATTCTTAGGGCGCCCTAGAGTTATTTCTGGGAGTTCTCACAAAGGAGCCCCATAGGGAGCCCTCACAGCTGTGCTCATCAAAACATGGCGGCTCGGCTCTTCCTCTCCTGTTCTCTCAGTGGTCCACGCCCCCTGCCCACCGAGAGCTTGGAAAAGCCTCTCATCACGGAGGCTGACTCGAAAGGCCCAGAAACTCACAAGTCCTTCTCGCTCGAACAGTTCAAACAGCCTCTGAGCTCCACAGCTCTCTCCATGTCCCCAGGAGGGGCACAGCAGGGAGGACTGTGGCCTTCAGACTCCTTCCTTCCCTTTTCCAACGCCTTTGCTCCCCTCCACCCTCCCCTAGTTACCAAACTGACATGCCCGTGCACTCAAATGAAAACTAGCAGACACAGAGTGGGGTGTCGGAGGCAGGTGTCTCCACTAGCTACAGCCCACCAGCAGCTGTTGGGTTATCTTGTTGAATCCTTAGAACAACCGTGTGACAAGCTATTATCAATCCCATTTTGCAGAATGGGGGACCCGTGGCTCAGAGAGGTGAAATCATTCGGCCAGTCTTCCACATGCGGTGACAAAGCACTTAGCAAGAGTTCAGTAAATATTTGCTGACGGACAGAATTGGAAACATGGAGGTAATGGAAGAGCTCCAGTTTGGGGGGACCTCAGAGCTCTCAGGGGTCCAACTATGTGGTAAAAGGGGGCTGTCAAGTGAGATAACCCTCCAAAGTGGCAGAAGAGCCAGAGATAGGGAGTATAGGGTCAGCCTCAAGGTCATTTGCTCCCTACCCCACTCCTTCCTGCCCTAATACCTGTCGTTTCAGAGTTCGCTTTCTACCAACAAGGCATCACCCCTCCCTCCCAAAGAAATGCCTTCAGAAATGGTAAGTGGTGACATTTTCTAGCTGCATGATCCTCGGGATGTCAATATGAATGTGTCCCAACACTGCTTTCTACTTTGGGGGTGGGAGGGAAGGGCAGTGGTGATGTATGCATGGGGAAAGCCTGGGCTTGGGAGCCAGTGACCAGTCTCCGTTCCCTGACGACTAACTGGGTGACCTCAGGCAAATTGCTTTGCATTTGCTATCTTCAGTTTCTTCATACGCAAAATGGGAAATGTCAGCTGCCTACCCCCAAATGTTATTGTGAGGATCAAGTGAAGTAATACAACCCTACTATTAGAGAGAGAGAGAGAACTTCACAATTACAAAGTACTTCCATATATATCTCTGGCAACCTTCAGATCCTCAACCCTGAGTATTATTATCCTTATTTTTCAGTTGAGGAACTCAAAGACTCAGAAAGATTGCAATTCACTAAAAACAGTGAGTAGTGCTATTATTCAAAAGCAGGATGCTTGGACCTACCACGCCTCACTTTCAGAGAGCGCAGCACCACTGCATTTGCCCCAGAGTCTCTCATCTGGGGTGTGCGTCACGTTCAAAGCTTTCATTCATTCATTCAATTTCATTTCATTCATTCAATTCGTTGCGTTTCTACCTGGCACTAGGTATTGAGGATGCTTTGCAGAGCTCCCAGGGTGGCAGAGAAAGCAGACATCATATAAGTGAGGGACAATACTGTGTGGTGAATGTTATAGCACTAGAAGAACAGGTGACATAGGAGGAGACCATAGGGAAATCTGAAGAGTTAGTAAGGCATAGCCTCATAAAAAATCAGAGAAGGGCATTCTCAGCTCAAGGGCGTGGTGTTTTGGATGACTAAAGCATAAAGGGTAAGAGAAAAGTGACGAGAGAGGAGGCCGGCGGGTCAGCTGAGCTCAGATTATAGAGGCCTGGCAAGTGGGTGAAGGAGTTTGGACCTCATCCTTGGTACAATGCGGAGCTACCTAAGGGTTTGTTTTTTTTGTTTTGTTTTGTTTTTTGTTTTGTTTGCAACCTAAGATTTTAAGCAGGGAAATGACTGAGATTGTTGGAAGATTTTTCTGGCTGGGATGTGGAGACTGGATCTGAGCCTGGCAAGACTGGAGGCAGGTAGAGCAGATAGATGGAGAAAAATACAGAAATTCAGGCAAGAAATAATGGTGATCTGAGCTCCAGATGGGGTCATGGGGATGGAGACAGGGGCGACCTTTGAAATAGATTTAGGAAGTAAAACCAAGAAGTGGTGATTGATGGGCAATGTGCATGGAGAGAGGGAAGTGAGAGGGAAGAGTCAAAGATGACATTAGCTCATGCAACTGCTGGGTGATGGTTTCCCTTATTGGATAAGGGGACTCTGGGGGTAGAATATCTGCTTTCTATCGGGTGTATTCTGCATGAACTTGTATCCCAACTTTGCCAGGGACCTCTAAATTATGGCCGTCTTGCCCAGAGAGGAGGAATGGATGAAAAGATCCTGCTACCCTGAGAATGCCGTTTGCCAGGCACCGAGGTGTGCACGTGGTGACTATATGTTGGAGGTGGAGAGGCATCGAGTTCCTTTGGGGCAAAAGGATTCATCTCCTGGTCTCCTATGAGCCTGCTATTCCCTCCATGCAACTTCCTTTTCTTTGGTTTTGAAGAGCTGTTTGTCAAGGGCATACCATATAATGCACATTAGTAGTTGCTGAGGGGGAAGCTGATCTCAAAAGAGTTTATTATCTAGAAGGACCAATAAGACAACCAACCAAAAATAATTACAGTTCCATGTGTATAGTGTTAATAGCCATAAATGGCATAAAGAACATGCTCCCAGAAAACCCAGGTTGCAGATGGCACTTCTGAATGGGAAAGTCAGAAGGAAGAGGCCTCTGGGTGGGTCTTACAGGAAAGATGTAATTTCTACAGGCAGAAGTGTGAGCTTGGGGTACAAAGGAGATCTTCTGAAGGAGGGAACACCATGATTAAAGATGGCAGCGGGTACAGGTAATCACCTGCTCAGCCTCCTCCTGTCTTAGGGTATCTGCAGACACAGTTCTTAAACTGGGGTCCATGGCGCTTTGAGAAGTCTGAGAATGCCCAACTATGCAAAATTGTGTTTATGAATGCACGTGGACTTTACCGGAGAGAGGGCCCACGGCTCTCCTCCAATTCTCAGAAGGGTCTGGATCTGAGAAAAGGTTAGCAAACAGCACTCCAATTCTCCCGAATTAGAATTTACAGGTGGGCTGGAGGCGCGCGCGCGCCTGCGCGCGCGCGTCTGTGTGTGTGTGTGTGTGTGTGTGTGTGTGTGTTAGACAAGCTCCGTTGGGAATTGACCGGTGCATACCTGGGATCTTTCTCGATAGGCCCAAGGAGGTCTTGGAATGCTAGCCTCATGAGCTTCCTGCCCTTTGCCCACCCTGACCCCCCCCACCCCCCCCTCTCTACAAGAGTAGTCACCACCTGCACCACAGTCTCCACTGCCCTGGGAGAAATAAAGGAGGCAAGGTCAGAGGAGCAGGGGGGAAAATCCGGGAATCAAGCAAAAACTCTGAAGCGCCTTTGGAGATAGGGTGGGAGGGGAGCCCTTCTGCCCCAAATCTGGAAACGGTCAGTCGGCCCGTCAGGTCCTGCGCCCCACAGCAAGGCTTCGGTCAAATTCTGGGAATTTCCCACTGGGTCGGCAGGGCTGCGGCAGATTTTCCCGGACGCGAGCGTGCCGTGCCCTCCGCGGCCGCTGGGTGGCGCGGCGCGGGGCACCGAGCGTGGGAAGCGCGGGCGCGCGGGCGGGCTGAGCTCACACTCCCGGGAAGCGGCCGCGGCGGAACCGGGGTCCGCAGCGACTGCGCATCGCGCGCCTCTCGCGGGGCGCTCGGGGGCTGCGAGGTGGGCTGCGCGGTCCCCCGGGAGGGAGGAGGCCGCCGGAGGTGAGAGCGGGGCCCTGGCGGGGTGTCGGGCGTAGGTGGAGGGGGGCACCGCGGGCCGGGCCTGCGGACGCTCCCCGAGGGCCCCGGGGCGGGGGGGTGGGGGGAGGCGGGCGCCGGGGGCGATGACGGGGGGCTCGTCCGCCCTCCGCTCGCGCCCCACCCGCGCTGCGGTGCGGCCTCCGGGTGCAGCTGCCCTGGCCGCGTGGGTGGGAGCGGATCGTGGCCGGGAGCGGCTCCGGGCGGCCCGCGGGCTCTGGGGCCAGGGCTAGCCGGGTGGGGGAGATGGCAGAGCAGCCCCCTGGCCCCGGCGCGGCAGCCCCTGCCCACTCCCACCTTGCATTTCTCCGCTCCGCAGTGGGCGTGGTGCCCCTTTGCTGCAGAGGGGGCGCCCGGAGTTGAGGAAGGCAGTGGGGGAGGGAGAGCGCAGAGACAGGTGGTTGAGGGGGCGAGGGCTGGTGCGCGGAGGCTCGTGATATTAATGCGTATTTCTTTCTCCCCCCTTCCTCAGGGGGCGCGGAGGTGCGTGTGGAGGAGGCGGCGGGAAGGCCAGAGGCATGGCTCGGGAGAGGGCAGGCTGCAGATGCCACTGGGCTCTCTCTCTTCTCTGATCAGTCCCCCCACCCCCAAAATTAATAAAGTGGTAGGGGTGGCGAGGGTGGAGGAGTCTGATGAAGACCTGGCCCAGAACTGCCCCGAACTGCCCCTAGCCGGCCGCCTGGCTCCCGCGTGCATATCCGGAGCCGCATACTCTGAGCATTCTGCAGAGGCTGTAGGGCTGGGGGGGGGGGGGGGGGCGCTGAGGGGGGGGGGTGGGGGGGCTGTGTGAGAAAGCCCAGGGCTAAAGAAGCTTCAGCAACAGAGTCAGCTTCAGAGATAGGGGTTGGGGGCGGGGGCTGGAGGTGAGGGGGAGTCTCCAGGCCTACAGCTCAAGTTCATAGGTGGTGGGAGGTGGGGTCTGTAGGGAAATAGGGTCATGTCCTTAGGACCCCCTCCTTCCAGCTTTGTTTAGAGCTATAGACCAAAATTTGGGATTCGGCATTTGCCAAATGTGCTTATTTCTTTTTTCTTTCCCTTTCGGTTTGTTTTGTTTTTTTTTTTTTTTTTTTAGAGGAACTGCAAATGACAGAGCAGAGGGACGGCTGGGGCAACCAATCCTGGAGCCGCTGCAGCACTTGTTCTCCAAACACACACATTCTGGTGCAAGGACAGAGAGGAGGGGGCTGCTGGCTCCCAGGCCCTCCCGGGACCCTGGCCCCCTTGCTGCTCCCTGCTGCGGACAGAGGCCACCATGGGCCAGGGTGGTGATGGTGCTGCAGCCCCTCCCTGCGGCCCAGCCTGGGAAGAAGAATGCAGAGCCAGGCAAGTCTCTCTCTCTGTGTCCTCTGGGGTGGAAGGAGCAGGTATAGACAGGGCTGGGGCAGCAGGGCCTGGTGCTGCTTTGGCATTGGTGGTGAAAGGCCTTTACCTCCAGCCCCTTGGGTTTGGTTCCACCCCTGGCCTGGCCCTCACCAACCGCGTCTATGTGCTTATCGGTGCCACCATGTTATATAACGCTTATATAATCTCCCAGGGCGAGCGCTGTGTCTCTGTTCTCAGGTCATGCCGACACTGTGTCCCTGTGGGAGGCAGGATCTGTGGAAGCTTGCGGGTGGACCTTCTCCCCCGTCCTCAACCTGGCTCCTCCTCCTGATCCCGGGCCTAGGAGGGAGGATGGGAGAACAGGGGCCCATCCACACCAGCTGTCTGGGGTTAAGAAAGAGGAGTTGACTGGGTGGCCTCCTCACCTTCCTGCTTCCCTAGGCCCCCTTGCCCAGTGAACTGTCTGGTGGAGTGGATGCCAGCCTCGTGTTTTGAGGCCCGCGTTTGTTCCTGGGGCCCCCTGCATGGCAGATGGGCGGGATGAGATGACCCCTAGAATGTCGTAGTGGAAGAATACGTGGTATATAGGGTTGGAGGGAGAGGGGCGGAAATTAACTCTGCTTCGAGGTTTTGATCAGAAGTGACTAGAAGGATGGTGGTGGCATTAGGAGACATTTGGGGCAGGCCTCGGAGCTAGAGGATGGTCAGGGAAGGGTGTACAGGGAAGTGGATCAGACAGCAAAGATAAACATGGTGTTCTTTTACTGTACTCTCCACTGGGCTGTCCCTGGTTACCAGGGCAACAGAAGCAGTGATGAAAATCATGCCTTTCGTTCAGTGGAAAAATCTGGCTCCTCCTCCTGCCTATTCCTTCTCTAATCGCCTGCGACCCATTGGGAGGTTGGCGGCTCCAGGGATCAGAGACCCCAGTATATCCCCATCAGGGCCCCCGTTCCCCAGTTTTTTAATCATCTTGCCCCTTCCTGCATCCTTTATCTCCCCCAGAGCTTGGCAGTTGCGCAGGAGTTGGAGTGGATGGAGGAGGGGAGGGCACGGACGTCATGGCAGGGCAGGGCGAGCAGAGCGTGGGCAGAGATGTGGTTGCAGGAATGACTGGCGCACGAGGAGGGTCAGGCATTGATCAGCTAGATGGCACTTGTTTCTGGGGTGGTGGGAGCTGGGGGTGGAAAGGGTTGGAGAGGGCCTGCAGAGTCTGGCAGCGTAGGCTTCCTGTAGTAGAGAAGGCCTCGAGGCTTCTTTTGTTGCCCCGGCTCCCGATGAAAGCTAGGGTTCATTTATGCAGCAGATATGGCATACCTACTGTGTTGAGTAAGGTTCTGGGAGCTGGGAAGACAGGACTGGGCCTTGACCTTGAAGAGATTGTAGTAGATGGGAGGAAGGTAGGTATATAGGGGAAGATCAGCCTGGCTTTGTTACAAGCCTGGAATCTGGGGCCTCAGGCAGGAGACTGGCGGTATTCCAGACTAGAGGTGATGGATTAGGATGGAGCCTGTAGGAATGCAGAGGAAGAGTAGTTCAGAGAGCCCCTTTGGCTAATAGATAGGACATGGGGAGGGGAGGGGTGAAGATTTTGGGTCTTAGTGATTGACAGAAACATCAGGATTCAGACCTCTTGAGGGGCATTGTGTTTGATTTTATTTCAGACCTACTGCCTTCAAGACCACGGCAGGGTGTCCAGATAGAAATGTTTCTTGTCAGGCAGAATTTGCAATGGAAGTCAATTCTGGGACAAGACTTGTAGGAAATTGTATTACAAAGTCTCGAAGGCGCTAGGTTGCTAAGAGCGTATACTGAGAGAGAGAGAGCTCAGGACCCAGAGCATCGGCCTAGATTGGGTGAGGCTGTATGTCTTGTACTTGTTTATGATCCCAGCACCCACCCAGACTGCTGGACCCGTTTCTGCTAAAGAACACACACGTCTGCTACCAAACCACACCCCTTTTTGAAGTTCAGGTTTCTGTTTAAGTTTCCTTCTCCCTAGTAACTATGTCCAAGAAGACATGTATGTCCTGGAAAGATAGATACAGATACTTCTCCAAGCTTTCTCCTTGCCCTTTGCTGTACCATTCACTTAGAAATTACTGAGAAGCCCCAAGATGTACCTGCTAGAGAGGTGAGCCATAGGTCTTTAGCCTCCCCCCAGGAAAGCTGTTTGTTCTGGTTCCTTCCCAGTCATCACTCTAGAGAAGTAAGAGTACTGGACAGAGGGTCAGGAGGCCTTTGCCAGCTGTATGATCTTGGGCGAGGCACTCTCTAGGCCTTATTGCCTAGTCGAAGAGGTCTGGTTTCTTCCATCTCTAAAGGCTTCGGATTTGACATCCAAAGCTTTATCCAACTTTGTCGGGGTTTCTGGTGAGGGCCAGGCTTTTTGAACAAGCCACGCAGATTTCTTCGGTACTTTGTGGGAGGGAGTAGCAGGGTGGAGGCCTGGTCTCCAGAGTAGGCCCCTGTCTCCAGAGTGGGTGGGAGCCCATCAGAGGGAGTGTGGTCCCTATTCCTCTTGGGAATTTGGAAACACTGGAAGAGTAGATTTTCCCAGTGACCAGGGATTGGCAAACTGCAACCCATAGGTCAGACGCCTGCTTTTGTAAATAAAGTTTTATTGGAACCCAGACATGCTCATTGTTTCTGTATGGTTTATGGCTGCCTTCCTCCTGCATTGGTGTAGCTGAGTAATTGCAACAAAGACTCTCATCCGTAAGCCTGAGGTACTTACTGTCCTGCCCTTGAGGAAAAAGTGCGCCATAGACCAGCAAAGTGCTTAGATCTCCACTGGGGATGCTTACTGTAGCCACGTCAGATTCCTAAGGTTCTTGAAGATTCTGCATTGGGCCTTCCTTTGTTATCCCATGAGAGGATAATGTGGCAGTTGAAATAGGAGAGCATTGGAGTCAGCCCAAAGATAGCCGTCTTGGGTCTGGGAGATCCCTTTCATTTCCAGCCCTTTCCCTAGAGCCTGGAGGTGCCCCCTCTCCACCCCATGTCTTTGAGCCTGGTGACCTGAATTCCTCCGCAGGGATGGGTTGTGGCCTCACTGTGACAGCTGATGCTCCCTCTCATCTCATTCTGATTTCCTAGGCCGTGCAGAGCAAAATGGACCAACTCAAGCCCCATAAGGAGAAGGAGAGGCTGGTTAGTTCTACCAAGTCCTGCAGTGTATTTCCCTTGATATCTTTGCTTTGTCATTTCCAGCCTCACTGCCCCCTTTTAGTGCCAGGGCCCCTGGAGATGCATTTGCCGAGAGCCTGCCACCAAGCTGCGTTTGTCTGCCTGAACCTGGCACTCATCCACCCTGTCGGAACAAGGCTCTCCAGCTTGGAGCTTGCGGGGTTTGCATCTGTGTTGGCTTGGGTCCGGATTCTTGTGGCCAACTTTACAGTCTCCTCCTGTGTCCAGGCTTCTGCCCTTTGGACCTGGTCCTCATGCCAGAGTCATCATGAAAACTCCTGGTTAGGAAGAGGAGAAGCCACCCCCCGCCCCCCGCCCCGTCCCTCCTACAGGACAGCACTTGTGTCCTGGCTGGTCAAGGCTGAGATAGGAAGTGAGGCACTTTGGTGGCAAGAAGAAACCACGTTCTGGGAACCGCGTTAGGGGTGAGGGTGACTGAGGCTTATTCCCATCGCAGCTGGAAGGGAGGAGGCCGGCAGTGGGAGGAGGGAGCAGACAACCCAGAATAGCAAAGGAGACAGAAGCTAACCATACTCAGGGCTGCTTTTAGCTGGTAATGGTGAGCCTGGCTCTGGGAGTCTTACTTCGCACCTCCCTACACACATTTTCCCCAGAGGCTGCCTCTCTGACTGTTCTCATCCCCCCCAAAAAGAAAAAAAAGGGTCCTTCTTAAAAGTCCTCTGAATACCTTTCATTTGTAGAATTTAGGGTGACCTCATCCTACCTGGGCTTGACCTGGTGTTGACACAAGCACACTGACCTGGGGAAATATTTGTTTACCGGATATTGATTAAGGGTGTGTTACGCGTAGGGCACTGGGTGAAGTTCAGAGGCTGCCAAGGAAAACACAGGATTCACAGTGTAGCCAGGAAGGCGTACGGACAGTTGAACCCATTATCACATGATCTGCAATAGAACCCAAGCTTCCCGAGAGCAGATCTGTGTCTGTCCCGTTCATTGCTGTCAGCATGGTGCGGGGTATTTGCTGGGCACATGCGCGCACATGTTTAATTGGTTGACACGTCTGGATCTGGCGCGTCCTAGAAGTGTGCTGGAGGGATCCACTAGGCAAGTGGAGGAAGAGGGGAGCTCATGGCAGCAAGTGTGGCCAATTCAGGGGAAGATGGGACGTCCCTGGGCATTGTGGTGATGTGAGGGAAAGAGGGTAGAGAAGAGGTAATGCCCCGTGGGCATGGGGATCCTTGGGCATCAGGGGACCACGAGATAGGAGAATGATCTGGCGCGAGGAGGCAGGTCAGCAGCAGCCCACCTCGTTGAAGGAAACAGAGGGCTTGGCGGGGGGGCAGGAGAAGCAGCTGGTGGCAGGAAGGTAAGACGGGGCAGGGGGAGTAGCAACCAGTGGGAGAGAAAGCATGGTGGAGTCTCCAGGCCCCCCAGGGTGAAAGTAGAGCTGAAGCAGGTGAGTCCCAGAGGAAGGTGATGGAAGTGACAGAGAAGACCAGTGTCAGCGCTGCTCCACGGGTCTCAAAAACAATCGTGTGCAGGCACGACCCCCCTGTGGTGGGGCAAGTGGGAGGAAATGAGCGACCGTTGGAGATCACGGTTACTCTGCAGCATTCTTACTACGGAAATGTTCCTATGTGTGTGAAGATAGAGTTAGTAGAAGAAGATCCCATGTTCTCATTACAGCTTCAGCCTGTAATCCACATGTGGCCCCTCTCATTTCATCTGTACCCCACCCACCTGTTCCTTACTCCTCTTTTGCATTTTGTTACTGCGAATCCCAGACACCCTATTTCATCCGTAAATTCTCCACTATGGATCTCTTAAAGCATAACGCCGTGGTTGTATCATCCCCAAATCTCCCCAGTCACCTACCTGGCCAGTGTTTACGTTTCCCTGCTGGTCTCCATTTTTTAACAAAAATCTGGTTCCAAACAAGATCCACACATCTCATTGAGTTGATGCTTATTCTCACGTCTGTGAATAAAGATTATGGACATGCTTAAAAGAATTTATGTTTTGCGGTTCTGCCTTTTAGATTGACTTAGCTGCCCCCCTCTGTCTCCCTTCAGCTGCCATCAACAGCTTTCCTGAGTTCTCTTGAACCATTTTGTGATTCCTGACCGTACTTCATTATTGCTCTTGTCTTTGTGGTTTAATGGAACTGGTCATTTATTCCTTCCTTCAGTAAGTATTTCTGGAGAGCATGCTCTGTGCCGGGTGCTGGGCATGCAGCTGTGAAAAGTCATGCAGGTACCCTGCTCCCTCTGGAGCTCACAGTCTAACCATGACACAGTGGTTTGGGTCTGTCTGCCTGTTGTCTCTTTCCCCCACGTGTTCACCCCAGCCGAGTTGGGCGACTGTCACGTCACTTTGGGCCGTCTGCTCTGCTGTGTTCTAGGGCTTGGCATTCATGTTCCTGTGCTGTCATTTATGTGGTTGACAAAAGGTGCCTCTAGAACCATCTAGGAGGTGGGGTGTGGCTCCTGTGACGGGCCCCTTTCCAAGCCATGGGATTGGGAGTCTAGCAGTGTTCCCGACTGACTTGGCATAGATCCATTTTACACTTTTGGCCTTGAGTCTCTATAGCTAAGCAAGTTAAAATGGAGAGAGCCTTCTTCCCTGGCAGATGGTGGAGAGGCTGAATGAAACATCTGGAAGGTGCTCTGAAATGTTGAAGGGCTCAGCAAACACCAAGTGGTGCAAAGATGTTCTTTGGGCAAGTTGGCTGTTTCAGTGATGTTGTGGATGTCAGGTTGCCTGGGGGCTTTTGTCTGTTCTGATTAGGTTACCTGCCTCGTTATGCCCACTTTCTCCATTTGCTCTTCTTTGCTGTGCAATAGGCAATTGGCTAGCCAGGCTGCCTCCGCACCAGAATCCGATGGTAGAGTTCAGGTCTGGCTTGCTAATGAAACTATTAACTCACTTGCATTTCTCTGTGTAAATAAATAATCAGACTTACGTTTGGACCCCGTGACACTCTGAGAAGAGTCTATGAGTTTTGTATTTTTTTTCCATTTGCGGTTCAGATGCAGATTTATTGCAGTTTGTGGATTAGTATCTGAGCCTTTAAAAAAATCTCCATTAATAAAGTAAATGTAGGGGCGCCTGGGTGGCTCAGTCGTTAAGCGTCTGCCTTCAGCTCAGGTCATGATCCCAGAGTCCTGGGATCAAGCCCCTCATCGGGCTCCCTGCTCCGAGGGAAGCCTGCTTCTCCCTCTCCCACTCCCCCTGCTTGTGTTCCTGCTCTCGCTGTTTCTCTCTCTGTCAAATAAATAAATAAAATCTTTTAAAAAAATAAATAAAGTAAATGTATTCCCAGATATAAAGACTAGTATTCTTGCACCATGTTTTATTATATATTTAAGATAATAATATAAAATGTATTCAATGTGCTGTGATATTTATCTTCTGTCATTGGAGTATTCATAGGTTAGAGTTTGAGGATATGTTTTATTTTCTTCAAATTAAGTGGTCTTTGACTGTTTTGATCAGGTAGCTGTGTTGGTTAAAATTTTTGAGCAGATCCCCGTGTGTGTGTGTGTGTGTGTGTATGTATAATTTCTATACAGCATGTTATGCTGATACATTATATACAGTATAATACACAAAATGAAAAGAATTAAAAGCAGCTGTGGTGCAGTGTACTCTCTGCCCCCCTCCGCGTGAACCATTCATGGTCCAGATTGAGGGCAGCCGCTTCCACCCCCTCTCACACTCAGGACATTGGCGCTCCACTATTCCCTCTCCTTCTGACATCACTAGTTTTGCCTTCTCTCTACTGGATCGCTTCCATGTGCTGTGGTTTCTCTCAGCTTACAATCTTCTTTGACCCCTCCCCCCCAGCTCTTCCAGCTCCGGCTCCTTTCTCTGTCCCCCCGAGGGTCTTCAGTTCCCCAAATCTGCACTTCCTCTCTTGACTCCCTCTGGGCAGGCTTGTCCCCACCTGTCTGGGGGGGGGGAGTGCTCTCGACCAAGCCAGCCATGACCACCATGTTTCCAAATCTAACCATCACTTCTTAGCCTTCATCCCAGTGGCTCTGGCAGTTTGGTACCACCGGCCGTACCCTTTTCTTTGAAGCTCTTTCTTCGCTTGGCTTCCAGGACACAGGTTTCTGGTTTCCCGCCTGCCTCGTTGTCTGTTCCTTTGCAGCAGCTCCTCTCCCTGACCTTGAAACATGGGCCCCCTCCTCTCCATCTCCTCTCTTTCTCTCTCTGACCCTCTCCCAGCCCATGGCTTTCAGTAGCATCTATATGAAAGATGTCTAGAATTTGCTTCAAAGAAACCCTGGGAGAGAAATGAAGATTGACCGTGAGTGGATGACAGTTGGAGCTGGGTGATGGGTACCTAGGGGTTTATTATAGTGCTCTCTCTGGTTTATGTTTAAAATTTTCCATAACGAAAAATTGAAAACCTATATGCTGATGGCCCACAATTATTTGTCTGAAGCCCAGCCCCTCTCCTGAAGTACAGACCTGTGTATCCATCTGCCTACTTAACATTTTAACTTGGATATTAATAGGCATTTCACACTAAACATGCCCAAAACTGAGCTCCTGTTTTTCCCACGCAAATATATTCTTCTGCAGTCTTCCATCTTGGTTGTGGGAATGCCATCCTTCCAGTGGCTCATGCAAAATGCCTATGGTCGTGCTTGACTTCTCTTTCTCTTTCATTTTTCTTTCAGTTCATCAGCAAATCTTGTTGACTCTACCTGCAAATATATAGAGAATATGACTCGTTAGAACTACTTTCACTGTCATCACCCTTGTCCAAGCCACCATCATTTATCACCTGTTTCTTCTTGGCCCCTTGCAGATGATGTAACCCTCACGGTAGGCAGAAGGATCCCGCGATAAAGAAGCCAGGTTCAAAACCCTGCAGCAGCTTCATTTCTCCCTCACTGAAAGTCATGGTTCTTAGTACAGTCTACAGGACCCTGTAGCTTTGAAACGCTGTCCACCGGAAATACAACATGAGTTACACATGAGAGCCACATATGTAGTTTTCACATTTTTCTGGTAGCTAAATTGAGAAAGGAAAAAGAAACAGGTAAAATTAATCTTAATAATTCATTAATCCAGTATGTCAAAAATACTTTACTTTCTGATGCATATTGCAGGGTTTTTCAAACAAAGTCACACCCATAGCACATCTCAGTTTGGGTTCGCTATACGCATCTTGCTCCCAGAGCCTCCTGGGGCTCATGGTTCCCTGTTGGAAATGCACGCCTCTGTGATCAGGTCCCGCTTGACTTCTGTGTTTTTCTCTCCTGCGACTCTTCCTCCTTTCCCTTCGTTCTAGCCACATTGGCCTTTTTGCCGCTCCTCCAATAAACTAGGGATTTCCTCTTTTAGGTCCTATTCCCTGTGTTTGGAACGCTTTTTGCCAGATAGCCCTGTAGCGGACTCTTACTTCCTTTGGGTCTGTGCCGGGATAGTACCTTTGCAGTGGCCCACTCCACCCCCACGCGTTTGCTGGCATCTCCTGCATCCCTTCCCTTGCGGCATTGGTTCTCCTTAGCACCATCACCCACTTAACATACTGTGTATTTCTCTTACTTCATATATATCTTCCCTCTCTCCCTGCTGGACCGTGAGCTCCATGAGAGCAGGGGTTTCTGTCACTTTTGTTCCCTGCTGTATTTCCAGAGCATGGAACAGTGCTTGGCACCTGTAAGATACGTAGATGTTCGTTGAAGAATTAAATGGAATGAATTATTAAGAACGATTCTCTTTTAGTTAAGAACCATCCCGTTGAATGTGCTTTATTGTGTGGTGTCATGTTCTTGCCATGTAGCAGTTTGAAGGTCTAGTTCAAGTCAGGGTATTTTGAAAGAGATCTCTTTATAAAGAGGGGATTATGGGTTCAATTTATAATATAAATGGATTCAAGACCCCCAAAACACTGCATTTCATTCATTTCCTCGGGAGATTTTAAACCACGCTTGAACATTCTGTTTTAAGTGCGTGCCCAGATACGACATTTTAGAGATGATGTCCTCATATTGAATGTGGCAACATCGTCACATGATGGTAGAAATGATTTCCAAATGCCTGTTTTTTAACAGGTTCTTGCTGTGACATAAGTCTCTTTCAAAAAGTAAAGGCTTTCTTACCCATTTTTTAGGTGTCACCTTTACCTTGAAGAGACAGATTAAATATCTGTTTAAAAATATTCATCAAGTAGCATTCTACCGACAGGCACTCACTGCAGAAGAGGTCAGCAGATTTTAGAACAATGATGTTTTCTGCTTTAAAAAAAAAAATGCGTAATTCCTCTTGAAGTTCAGCACCTCGTTTAGGAAGTCTGCCATGAATAATCGGAGTCAGTATGGTCAGATCATTACAGAGGGCTATCAGTTGTAGGGAAGATGGTACCCTGAGATTTGCTGGGTACTTGCAAACTGTACTAAAGTACACAGATGACGGGGGTGTCGCCGACCGTTCTCGTGGGTGTGTTGGATCTCCTGCTCAGGTACGGGATGCCCCCTGCACCTAAGTGACAGTGACCACTGGACGCAAATGGAAGGAGTCGCAGCAGTGTCTCACATGTGGAGTAATAATAAGATTTACTTGCTTGTTTTCAAATAAAAATAAATACAGACATCCTGCTAATTTCTTCTTCACCCCGGTGGATCTCGTACATGCCGCGTCCGAGGTGATGGCTCTAGTTGGTGCTTTTATAGTAACCTCGTCTCTCTCACTTTAATCCAGTTAAGGGTTGGGTCTTCTCTTTTCTGTTGCTCCTAGTATCTAACAGGTCTGGGTTGCGCCAGTACCTATTGGCTGAACAGAGTTGGGGGGGGTAGATCTATTCTCTGACCTCAGGACCTTTGTTGGACAACAAAGCCTGGCAGCCAGATGTCTTTGGTAGCTGCTAGAGCTATTTCTTTAGCAGTATGGAAGGCATGGGTGGCATCAGGGAAAAAGGCATTGCAGTGTTGAGGCTTGGTGAGTCTCGATGCCTCCTCTGGATCCGACAGGAAAGATGGAAGCTGCTTAAGGCCCCCCCCCGCCCTCCCATGCTGTGGAGTAGATGCTTGTGCTCAGCTGCTGCTCTGGAAGTGAGCTGGCAGAGGTTGCTGGAAGAGATGGCCAAGGTAGCTTGAGTAGCCGGCACTCAAGCTATGTCTTCCATCCGCTCACCTGTATGCTGAGAATGTTTGTGCAAGTATGCTCTTTATCCATATTGACGGTCCCCTGGATGTGGACACTGGGAGTTGATTTCTCACTGCTGTGACTGGAAGCACCGTTTAAAAGATGCGTGGCTGGAACGAGAGCTGCAGACTGTGTCAAGAACAGAGGTCCTGGTGTACATTCTGCCATGGAGACTACCTCCCATGTTCCCCGAACCGTGCGTCAATGCGCAAAGCTTGTCCCCCAGTGGGCCACTCTTTGCTACTTAGAAAGCTAACTGATCCATCAGCATCTGTTCATTGACACACATTTGTACAGGGCCTCTTGGGTGAAAGATGGAGTGGGGTGGGGATGGGAAAGGAAGGAATATGCCAGTGTGAATGGGACATGGTCTCTTGTCTTTGAGGAGCTAGAGGTTAGTGGATACTGAAATACTGAAATACAAGACAAAGCTTAAAAGGGATGTGAATGGAGTAGAAGAAGGGGTTACAGGAGCCAAGGGGCTGTTGGGAAGTGGAGGAGAGCTCTTGGAACACGAGCAAGAAGATCTTGTCCATCTTGTTCACAGCTGAATCCTCAGAGGCTAGCACAGTGCTGATCCCCGTCAGGTGCTCCGTAATTACCTATTTGTTAACAATTGGGTGTTGAAGGAATAGGCCTTCACCCAGAGGTGCAATGCAAAGGCCCAGGGGTGAAGGAAGAAATGACTTCTTGGGAGAAAGTAGTTGGTGTGCTCTGAGGGGTGTATGTGGCAAGAGACGGGGCTATATATTGCAGAATTAAGGGCAGTCTTGGGAAAGCCGTGACCAACTTTCTAAGAATTTGATTGTGGTGGTTCTTAACCTCTTTTGCACCAGTGCTCATCAGGAATAGCATAGAAACTATAGTCTCTTTCTCCAAAGAGAAAAAAAATCGCAACAGCACATGATCTGGCACTTACCATCGGAGGACTCCCAGATCCCAAGTTCTAAGAGCATGCTGTTAGCCAGGGGAGCTGTCCGTGCTTACTGAGAGCTCATAATGGATACAAGACACTTGTTTTTCCCTTGGATTCTTTGGGAATTGACTCCCATGAGTGTGTATGGAGGCGTTCCAGCTTTTAAGGGCTCTGATAGGTGGCAGGTACAGTAGTGACCTCGACGAGCTCGGGGAAGCCATGGAGAAGAGGGGAGGGGTCTTTGTGTACAGACAGAAATGGGGAGATCCAGTGTTTGTTCCATTTAGCATGGGACAAAAAAGTTTACCTTGGAAAAAAATAGGAAAAAAAAAAGTGAACCTTTAAAACTTACTAATTTAGAATATGGGACGCTTATGCTAACTTTTTTCTGTGACGTGGTTTCCAACTCAGACACCCGGCCAAGCAGTAATGACAGATTTAGAGAGGCGGTGTTTGCATTTTTTGGGAACGGTGATTGTGGAAAGGAGTCATTAGAGTTTCACGTTACCTTGGTACAGCGATCGAGGAGCTCCTTAGCCGTCCCGATCCATCAGAGGGAGCTGCCTGGAGGTGGCGAGATTTCTCAGGCTGCTTCTAAGAGCAGAAAGCTGGGGCTGAAGGTAGTTTAAAATTAGCTTGTTTTGTTCCCGTTGTCATAAAAAAAAATTCTTATGAAGAAAGAGTATCTGTGTACCTTCAGTTGAAAAATAAATTGACCAGACTTCCTGTCTGCCAGGAGTTTGTAGTCTACCTCATATACAGATAGGACATTTGGAGATTTGAAAAACCCAGTGTGGGCAGCGCACTGTTGACTTTCCTGCCTGTGTGTGTCCTACGAAGTTCATCCCATGGAGGTGCGGTGAGGCAGTGCTTCATCCCAGTGAAGGAGGTCGATTGAAGATCAGCCCTGCGTGCGGCCATGCTCCCCGCAGGCCAGCACCGGAAGGCGCCACTGGAGATGGAAGAGGAGCACCCTTGAGCTCCTGCCCCCAGAGCAGAGCAGGGAGCAGGCTCGGGAACCCATGCAGCAGCGTGTGCTTGATGCATCCTCTTTCTCCCCTCTGCTGAGGCTTCCCACTCGTGTACTCAGTGGGATTTTGCTTTGTGAGCTTAGTCTGTGAGTGAGCTTTAAAGGTTTTTTTCAAGGAGAAGAGCCCCTCCTGTTTTCCCTGCAGATGCATTCGGACTGCAAGTCCAGACACCTTAATGGGGGGTGAAATCAATTTAATGGATTGAGACCAACATTTTTTTTAAAAAAAGAACATAATAGAAAATATTAGACTGCGTGGTGTGTGGTGAAGATGAGTATGATTTCATGAAGGCTTGCTTCACTTTTATGTATTTTATATTTACATATATTTATTTCGTTTTGGATGCCTACATACATATTTCTCGTACACAAAGTATACATGTATGGGTGTGCACAGGGTCACCTTGTAAACTTTATTTCTTACTGTGAGTCAGAGTCCAAAAAGTTCGAGAAACTGTCTCGGAAGGATTTCTTGGCTCTTGGTGTAGATAGTGGGTTCCAGCCGCCTCCCCAGAGGCCATCTCTATGGAGGCAGATGTGGTGAGAGGGCTTTTTTTTTTTTTTAAGAGCAGCAGAGTCAGGCTCTCACAGCGTGATCCAGGCTGTCTGTAGCTGCTTCCCCACTCCTGCCCCCGCTTCCCTGTGCCCGGTGTTCTGCTGCAGCATGGGGGGGGGGCAGGGAAACCTCCCCGGGGGGTGGGAGCAGGGGTCCCCTTCCCGTCTGTTTCACCAGGTATGATTCCCTGGAGAGCAGCATGTTCTGCCCCGTGCCTCTTCTCTGTCTCTTGGCTTTATTAGCTATATCCACACCAAGGTTAGGGCAGAGAGAAAGCCATCCCAACTTAGTATTTTGCCCTGTTGCTCTCCGTTTCTCAGACTCATTGGGTAGGGATGTCAGAGTTCACACGATCTGGGGAGATTCTGGCGCAAGGGAATGAGCCAGCCCCACTCAATGAGTCCCCTTAGATTTGTGATCCTCTGCCTCCATCTTTCCCCCAAAGGGGAGGAGTCTTTCCCGGACGCTAGCTGCCTCTCTTTCCACCAGCTGCGCCCACCAGCCTGCAGAGCGCTGACCCACTTGTCGTACCTCAAATAGAGGTTTAAATTAGGACCTTTAATCTGTAAGAGGCTTACAGCCTGTTGGGTGGCCAGCTCTCTTGACTTCCATGGGGCAGGGCTGGGCTTTGCCTGGCTGTTGTTGTCTTTAAGGAATCACGGGGGTCTGTGGCTTCATGGCAGGAGCGACCCAGGCGTGCAGACTTGTCGAGGACCAGGAAAGCAGGGTCCTGGGAAAGCAGAGTCATGTGCCCGATATTCCTTCTGCTATGGGCACTTACACAGGCCCTGGGAGTGGGTGGGTGGGGTCACCTGGGATGGAATGGGGTGACGGTATGTCTTTTTAATGATGGAGTGGAGAGCCTCGAATTCCATGGGTTTTGGGTGCTGGCCTTGCTTCCCCTGGGTACTGAGCCTGGATCCCTGCCGATGTGCAGTTAGTTCTGCTGGGTCAACATCTGTTTTCATTCCACAGATGTTTATTAATCAAGAGCTGTGTGCCCAGTGTGGTGCTAGGGGCTGTTGGGGACACACAGAAACATGAGAATCGGGGCCGCCCCCAGATTGTTCGTTGTCTTTTTGAGACCAGACTAGGACATATTAAAATGTTCATTCATCCCAAAGGCAGATACCTATTTGGCTAGCAGCTGTTCAGGGGAGCAAATAATCAAGTTCCAAAGTAACCGGCGTGGGGGAGGTACTGTTGGAGACCTGAGAAGGGACAGAGCCCCAGGGTGGTCAGAGCTGGGCCCTGAGTGGTGGGATTGAGAAGGATGGGAGAAGGGAGGACATCGAAGGTAGGAGGAATGGCATGGACAGGCAGGGAGAGTGGGTGGTCCTCCTCCTATGTGCAGTGACTGTGGAGCCCCCCCCTTCTGGAAATAGTCCCAGTTTCAGGCCTAGAGAGCCTTACTCTTTGGACAACATAGAGACAGCTCTTGGGTTCTTTCTCTTTTCTCCTCTTTATCATGATAATAACAAGAATAATGATTCCTAACTTTCTTTTTTTTTTTAAAGGTTTTTTTTAAATTTATTTATTTGAGACAGAGAGAATGAGAGTGAGAGCACATGAGAGGGGGGAGGGTCAGAGGCAGAAGCAGGCTCCCTGCCGAGCAGGGAGCCCGATGCGGGACTCGATCCAGGGACTCCAGGATCATGACCTGAGCCGAAGGCAGTCGCTTAACCAACTGAGCCACTCAGACGCCCTGATTCCTAACTTTCATTGAGCCCTCGCTGCATACCACTGTTCCGGATGCTTTTCCACAGGTTTTCTCATGAAGTCGGCATAGCACCACAGTGATTAGGTGTCACGTATTATTATGTGCACTTTACAGTTGACGGCACTGAGGCGAAGAAAGGTTGAATAGCTTGCCACGGTCACATGGCAAGGCATCGGTTGGGTCAGGAGTCCAGCCGGGGCAACCCGAGGGCAGAAGCCCATGCTCTTAACCTGCTGCTTCCTGAACTTGTCTAAGCATGGGATCACTGGGGGATCTTTGGAAATTCCCAAAGCCCGGGCCAATTACATTACACCTTAGACCAATTACATCACAGTCTCCGGGGCTGGGACTCAGGCATCAGTAGTTTTTGAAGCTTCCCAGGTGATTCCAGTGTGCCGCCAGGTTTAGAAACCACGAGGTTAACCTCTGAGTTTTAGTTAGGGACTATGACTATTTGATGGGGTACATTGGTATCTCCAAGGCAGTAGGGCCTTGGCCCCGGGCCCGTCTGTGGCTCACCCACCATCGCACAGAGCGTGCCTCCAGCCTCGTGTCTGAGGAAGCAGGACCCCTCACGCCCTACAGCATCCGGGACCCCTACGAGTGAAACCTGGGTGGGCTGGAGTGGGTAGAGGGAGGGGCGTTTTCCCGGGGTCGCTGCCCCTCTTCCCTCGGAGGGCCATCTTGGGGCAGAGACGCTTTCAGAGCCCTGGAGACCTCCAAGTGTGGTTTCTCACGTCTTCTGCTCCCCTGGGCCCCTCACTTCAGCGGAGAAGGGCGAGGGTCACTCGAGGGCAGATCTCTTCTCGACAAGTCCCTCTCCTCTCTGCCTGTCCCTGGGTGAACCTGAAATGGACACGAGGAGCAGAGTCCTTTGGGTGGCTGGGAACAGCACTAAATTTAGCAAAACTGTGGCTGGTGGGGGGCCGGCCTATAGTGAGCCAAACTCAAGCCCGAGTGGACTAGATTTATAGTCAGCAACGCAGCCAGCGTCGTCTCTGCTTGGGCAAGTCTGTGGTTACACAGGATCTTTCCGTTTCTAAAGCCTGGAAGCTTGTCAGGCTGTCCTGCAGGATCTCCCAGCCTCTGCCCCTGGGAGGCTTGGCTCCACCCCCACTGCCCCGGGGATTCGGTTCCTCCCACTCTCCCTCACGTGTTTGGAATTCTCACTTCAGTACATTAGCCTTGGCCTGCAAATTCTTCCAGGTCTCTTGGCTGTGTTGCCAGCCTTAATTCTCAAGGCCCTGGAGAGCAGACATGAGCTTTGGTGGATTTCTCTTAGGGCATCTGGCATCTTAGGACACCTTTTGGTCAAGATCATTGAGTGGAGCAAAGAGAGGAGCTTGGGATGGTCAGCTGAACAAGGTTTTAAGGGACTGAGAGATCTGTTCCCTCCGCTTGAAGTGAATTATGTGGAGTGACAAGGGTAAGTGAGTGGGGAGAGCTGCGAGACTTCAGTCATTGAGGATTTCTTTGGTTGCTTCATATTCTGCTCTGATGTGGACCATATCTGGAAGGAGGTGGGTTTTGTGAAATTGGAGAGTGGAGGTCTGCTGGTGACAGGTCATCTTCCCCTCCTGGACCTCTTGCTCCCACTTCTCAGATCTCATGGTGACGGCTTGCCTGGGGGAGCCTCTGTTGCCTTAATTAATGCCTTAGGAGATTAATGACCAGGCTGCGTTTTCTCAGCCCTTTCCAAAGTGGACACTTACATTTTGGCCAGGGCTGGGGTCTTGTCTATATGACATGATTTGTTATTAGTCTAAAGCAGTGGTTCTCCTCCAGGGGAATTTCCCCAGGGGACTTTTGGAAAGTCTAGAGACATTTTTGATCATCACAATGGAGGAGCAGGAGGGGTGTTGTTTGTGTCTAGTGGATAGAGGGCAGGGATACTGCTAAAATATCATACAGGGCACAGGGCAGCCCTCCCCACAACAAAGAATTCTCCAGTCCAAAACGTTCATAGTGCTGAGGTTGAGAAACCCTCATAGAGGGTCTTACAGAAATGGCCCTGAGAGGTCATCTTTCCTAGATCCCTGCTCCTATTATAAATGACTTGAGGGGCACCTGGGTGGCTCAGTCGGTTGGGCGTCTCTTGATCTCAGCTCAGGTCTTGATCTCTGGGTCATGGGTTTGGGCTCTGTGTTGGGTTCCATGCTAGGTATGGAGCCTACTGAAAGGAAGGAAGGAAAGGAGGGAGGGAGGGAGAGAGAGAGAGAGAAAGAAAAAGAAAAGAAAGAAAGAAAGAAAGAAAGAAAGAAAGAAAGAAAGAAAGAAAGAAAGAAAGAAAGAAAGAAAGAAAGAAAGAAAGAAAGAGAAAGAAAGAAAGAGATTAAGGAATTAAGGAAGGAAGGGGAAGGAAAGAGAGGGAGGAAGGAAGGAGAGAAAGAAATGACTCGAGACCAAGAGCTGTCTGGCCATTGCCTTCTTCCTTTGTCTTCCAAGTTCCCCTCTCCTTAGCATTTACAGTGTCTTACATGAATTGTGTTCAGGAGGTTTCCTGGGAGTTACTTAAACCTTATATGGCACAAGTTCTCATAGAAGTCCACCATTTAAGCACGTGTGTATCCTACATCGGTCATGTCGGTGACTCAAAGCAGCTGTGTCCCTGGTGCCCCTAATTCAGCTGTGGTGTTGGCGTATTTAGATGCTGATACCTTTTTTTTTTTTTTAAGATTTATTTATTTGAGAGAGCGAGAATGAGAGAGAGAGAGAGAGTACATGAGAGGGGGGAGGGTCAGAGGGAGAAGCAGGCTCCTCGCTGAGCAGGGAGCCTGATGTGGGACTCGATCCCAGGACTCCGGGATCATGACCTGAGCTGAAGGCAGTCGCTTAATCAACTGAGCCACCCAGGCGCCCAGCTGATACCTTTGAGATGAATTTTCAGTTCAGTAGGGAAGCCCTTCCGAGCAAACATCATGTGGAATGATGGGGTC